ATCTCTCACGTTGTCTTCTAAGAGTTTTATAATTTTACTCTTGTATTTAGGGTGCTGATTTGAAGTTAATTTTTGTGTAAAATTAGATGTAGTGGTTCTACTTCATTATTTTGTGTGTGATTATCAGTTGTCCAGTAGAGTACATGTGTTTTTAATTATTATTTAAATGTTCAAAGTAAAATTTTAATGATATTTCATTGTTTCCTTTTACTTAGCAAAATAGGAGCTTCCTGGCATGATTAAAACTGCTAGAGGTCTGAGTAGAAAAATACTACCAATTTTTTCTTGGCTAAATGAACATTAAATATTTACAAATGTAAATATTGAGATATGTTATAAATAGAAATACTAAAACATTTTTGTTGAACTGACTAGATTTGAAAATTTTGACACTATATGGCCTAGTAATTTCCAAGTGTCATCCAAGTGTATAGACTTGGTAGAATATTGTATGAGAGGAAAATGAGGACTCAAAAAGATGTGAATCACATTATTTCATGTAATACAGAAGACACAACACAACTAAATTTTTTATCTAGTTTAAATGCATAAACAAATCTACATCAAGATATTTAAATAAAATAAAATTATTCCAAGAAAAAATAAGTGAATCAAAAATTATATGAACATCATAAATTCACTTATGTAAATTTAAAACTACATAACTAGAAATGATACATATCATTTACATACCAAAAATACAATAGTAAATTGGTTTTATTTTAAAAACTAGATAGTATTTATTAACCTTGAACACATTGTGTTAAGTAAAATAAGTCAGTCCGAGGAGGACCAGTACTCTATGATACCACTTATATAAGGTATGCAAAATAATCAAAGGCATAAAAGCACAGAGGAGAATTGGAGTTTCCAGGTGCTGAAGCAAGGGGGCAGGCATAAATGGAGAGTTACTATAAAACAGGTAGAGCATTTCAGTCATGCCAGAGGATTAAGTTCCAGAGACGTCCTCTATTTATCTCTTTTTTGTTATTGTTATCCCTATAGGTAAGATTGCTGCAATGTATAGTTCCAACTTTTTAAGATGATAGATCTCATAGTAAGTGTTCTTAAAAATATAAAGACTTGAAAAGAGAATAAAAGGTTGTAATAGTCAAAAGTGGTTAATTCTGAATAAAATGGAAGAAATAGAAATGGGAGAAGTTGGATAAGTGAAAATTAGATTGTATTTAATGATGCATTATTTTAAAATAATAAGGCGTATAATATAAAATTATTGATTAATTTGCGTGAGAGAAATATAGTGTCTAGAAGGTAATTATAGACATAACTTTTGCACCTACAATGCTTACAGACTAGAAAATTTCACACAAAAAGTAAAAAAAAAAGGTATCAGTATTTAATTGTGATGCTTCTGTATGCGTTCCGGGAAGATCACAGGCTCATATAAAAAAACATATTTTCCATCCAGATAATTTTAATTAATCACTAGAAATAAGACCAAATATATGATGAACATAATAAGAATTTTAATTAATAGTTCTCCTTGTCACATTAAGAAATCAATTAAAAATTGATATTAATTTTTTTATAATCACTCATTCACATGTTAAATTTATGTTTTATATCACCTGGTTTTTTCTTTTTTACTTATTTGCAGGAGTTGCTCTTGATGCAGAATGGGGACTTTACATTTAGTCCTGTTCCCAATATTCATATTAAAATTGACCATTGGAAACAGAATTCTGTGCTGTTATCTAACTATTAATTGTTTTCATCCCAGGGCCAACAGCATCAATTCCCCATTTATAAACAGGTAATTGCATTCTTTTTTTATTCAATGGGATTATCTAAGTGAGTCCCTAGGCAATCTCCACATTTTCACTCGTTGGGTAAACTTTCGAGTGGAATCTTGGCTAATGAATGTTGTTTGTCTTTCTTTCCGTGGGGAATCAGATTTTCATTTGGAAAATCTTATTGTCATGCTTGGGGACTGGGACTAGAAACAAACAAATGCAGTATGAAGGCCTTCAGAAACTTCAGACACTTAAAAAACTTCATCATGCTTTGGGCAGGAGCCTTGGGTCTGGGTCTCACCAGATATCTCTACACGGGTAGGTTACACCAAATATTTTACTTCTTACTAAGCTTCATGTAAGAATCAATTATCTTTGAGGATTTAACCCAGATTTAAATCAGACTCAGGACTGAAATGATATCTTTTGTTTTCTGTTCCAAGTAACTCAAATATCTGCCCACTGATTTCTTAGTGGAAGTGACAGTAATACAACATAAACAGTAGTATCCAGCATCTCTATTAATAAACTAGACTGCTTGAACATTTATACCAAATAATGAATAGTCATTATGGTTAGTATATTCCACTTTAATATGAGTAATGATTTTTTTCTGCCTTAGAACTGAGATGTTTAGAGAGAACTCTATATCATAAGGGAAGTGTCATAAGTGTCTCCAATGCATATGATTTGATGTTTCAAAGAAGGGCTTTCGAAAATACTTGATACTAATAAAAATGAGCTTTTTCTTCTTGCATTCCCTGGGGTGAAAAATCCTAGGATGAAAACATTCCCTGGTACTAATAATCAATCTTTCTGATGGACACCAAAAACTCATGTTGAAATTCAGTGCTTGTCTCAAACCAGACCCACGTCTCAACAAGCATAACACAAATTCCACAGTTAGATATCAATGAAATATAGTCACAAAATCATCTCAGAAGCTATTTAAGAGTTAATTTGCAATATGATACCTTAACCAAAGGGTGACACTTTTTAAAGAGAAACATATTAAAATTATTAACATTAGGTATATTTTTATGTTGAGATTCATAATATTGGAAGGCCTATAAAATATTTCTTTTCAAAAACTAATTTAAAAAACCTTTTGTGAAATATTATAGTAGCCTTTAACAGGAAAATTCTAACTCAAAAATATCCCAGAAAAAGAAAACCCAATAGGAGAAAACTGGGTCTGTTCTAAGGGCTCTTTATGTCAATGGCATATACTTGCTGAAATAAATATCAACTCCAGCTCTGCCTCAGCCATGCTTCAGAAGAGGAGAAATTAATAATAAGTAACGATATTAAATATTTGTAAATTCTCTTTCTTTCCTAAGCTAATTGCACAAATTCAGAGTAGCCAATAAATAATTGCTGTTGTTCATGATGTTGTTTTTGTTGCTAAATGAAGGATATCTATAGAATAGACATCAGAATGAACAATGCATTGAGTTGCTTTTTGTGTAGCAACCAAACAGGAAATATTTTGATCAAAGTAATTGTTAGCACAATGTTTTACATCATAAGCTTGCCTGCTCATAAGACATACAGTTATTTTCAGGTACAGTGGCAAGAAGCAAAAGATAGAGAATAAATGCTACACATAATCAGATCAATTTCTCAGCCTCAAATTTGATGTATTTAATAATGTATCATAACAAAGAAACACTGAAGATTTAAGAGACAATCTGATTGCAAGACATCATGTTTTATTTGTTAAAACAGTAGGTAGGTATTGCATATTCCAGCTTTTAAAAAAATTTGCAGTATGGTAATTCATTTGCTATTTCTATATCAATTATAGAAACACACTAAGGTAGAATGAATTATCAGAACTGAAATAGGAACTCACATCAAAAATTATTCAAAGTGTACTAATAACAAAAACTGAAGGTAACATCCATTTTGCATTCACTTGGTACCAGGCTCTGTAAAAACAAATCTATTTATGTGCATTATCTCATTTAATTTTAATAATACAAAAATATAATGCCTGATAAAAATCACCTAGGTATTAATTGGTAGATTAACACAAACCAAGCAATCACATAAACAAAATCACAAAAACAAAATCATAAAACCACAAAGTTTAGACCAATGTCTTACATAGTCTTTTTTGAGTTGTTTTACTTCACCGAGACTCAATTATTTTATTAGACATGAAAATAATTACCATCTACCTATATTCTAGGGTACTTCTGCAGAACGAGATAACTATTTCAAAATATCTAGCATAATTCTCTCACTTTCTAAATAAATATTAATAGTCTTCCCCACTTGTTTTTCTATATAAGTATAATAAATCAAGGGTATCAAACTTAAATAACAGTTGTAAGTAATAAGAATTAAAAAAACAACTTTTTAACAATTTAAAATGAAAATGTATAAGCTAGAAATGGAAGGAAGAGTAGGGCTTCTGGAACAAAATAGTAGAGAAGAGTCTAAGAGAAGTCATAATGATAGGACAGGACCAGCCCATTTAGTAGAAGTAATGAAATGTGATTAAGTAAAGAGAATTCTGACTTTGAGAATTACACGCAGAAGGAACAATATTGAGGTGTAGGCCTACTTCTGTGCGGCTAATGCAACATTATGTAGTAGAAACAGATAAAGTAAAATCCAAAATACTCAAAATGTTTCCCATAGAAACGTTGAAATTTCCGAGGGTTATTAATGACAAGGTATGAGCTAGAAAGCTCACCAGTGGAAGCTAAAAAAAAGATAACTGGTGGTCACTCTGTCTCACCAGTTTTTTAAAGACTGCTCTCTCTTATCATTTGAAATACAAACAGAAACACACAAATAAAAATTGTAAGTAATAAATTACATATGTATATATGTATATATATTCATTAATATCAAATGCTAATATGTGCATATAATATATGTGAATATACATTAATATCAATATCATATGCTAATATAGTTGATATATGCATAATACATATCATAAAATAAATAAATATGTATTTACTCAATATAAACTATATCCAATAGTGAATACATAAATGGCTTGTTAAGACAGTTTTAAGACTCTTAATTGTCTGGTGAATTTTTATTTCTGAAGTTTATGAAACATGGGGAGAGAAACAATTAGGTTCTGAAACTTTTAAGGGTTTGTCAAAAATATAAACTGATTTCAAATGAAATATTTAACCACCTAGTGTCTAATAGAAACATCAATTTTATTATCTACTAATTTATTTCAATTTTTTCAGATAAAAGATGAGGGCAACAATATAAATGGCTTCAGGAAATCTCACATGGTTGATGGAGTTTATTCTTGTGGGAGTCTCAGATGATCCAGAGCTCCAAATTCCCCTCTTCCTGGTCTTCCTGGTGCTTTATATGCTGACTGTGGCAGGGAACCTGGGCATCATCACCCTCACCAGTGTTGACCCTCAACTTCAAACACCCATGTACTTTTTCCTCCGACACTTGGCTATCATCAATCTTTGCAATTCTACTGTCATTGCCCCTAAAATGTTGGTTAACTTCCTGGTTACCAAGAAAATCATATCTTACTATGGATGTGCAACCCAACTAGGTGGATTCTTGCTTTTCATTGTGGCTGAGATTTTCATACTGGCTGCAATGGCCTATGATCGCTACGTGGCTATTTGCCACCCTCTGCTCTATGCAGTAGTGGTGTCTCCAAAACTGTGTTATCTGCTGGTGTCCCTCACATACCTTCAGAGTCTTATCACGGCACTGACTGTCTCTTCCTGTGTGTTCTCTGTGTCATACTGTTCTTCCAACATCATCAACCATTTTTACTGTGACAATGTCCCTTTGCTAGCACTGTCCTGTTCTGATACCTACATTCCAGAAACAGCAGTGTTTATCTTTTCAGGGACCAACTTGTTTTTCTCCATGACTATTGTCATAATATCCTACTTCAACATTGTTATTACCATTTTGAGGATACATTCCACAGAAGGACGACAGAAAGCCTTTTCCACGTGTGCTTCTCATATGACAGCTGTGGTTGTGTTCTATGGAAGTCTCCTTTTCATGTATTTACAACCAAGGACTAATCACTCATTAGATACTGACAAAATGGCCTCAGTCTTCTACACCCTGGTGATACCAATGTTGAACCCCCTAATTTACAGCCTCAGGAACAAGACCGTGAAGGCTGCACTAAAGAGATTCTTAGAAAACCCATGCCGATCACTCAAACTAATGTAAATTTAAAGCTAAAACTATATTCCTTCAGTGCTTTTCTTTTTTTTGAAAATTGTTATTTTTTTTAATGTGGCAAGAAATAGTTAGAAATTCCATTTATTTCAGTGGGATATGTTTAATTGTTGTTATGTCAACCTCACATACCCACACAAGAAAACAATGTCAATGTGAAATAAAGGTAGTGTATGGAAATAAATTATGTTATAACATTTTCAGAAAGGTTAGAAACATACCCAATCTGAGGACTGTGTGATTCAGATCAATTCAGATCTGCACATTAACCTATATGTGCAGATCAAACAAAATGTTAAATTAGACATGTAGAAAGAACCAGAAGTAAATTCCCCTGAAAAGACATGCCTCAGAGATAGAGTTAAGGCTGCCTTATCCAAATCAGATTCCTAACAAATTCAAGAGCTTCTACTAAAAGGAGGGAGGCTCAGCCTGAGAAAAGACTCACGAGGATGAAGCTGTGCAGGTGGAGAGCTCAAAGGGCTCAAGTGAGTACTGCACGCAAGTTCCAAGAATTACTGTTTCTCGCAGTAGTAGTCTTTTTCGGTTCTCATTTCTGACACCACTTATATAAACCTAAACAACAAACCAAGACAGACCCTCTGAAGGAAAATGATTTTTATTTGGGAAAAGGCATTGAAATAGGAAAACACATGCCAAACTATGTGCGTATTTGGAGAGGTAAGAGAAGAAAAGGATTTTAAAGGAACAAATGCAGGAGGCAGGTGGGGGCGGGGGGGCGACAAAATTGTTTGGAGATCATTATTCTTGGCTGCAAACATCAATGATGATGATGATGATGATGATGATGATGATGATGCCAGTTTAAGATTGAACAAGCAGTTGCTGGACAGATGTCCTTGCAGAATTATTTTTATATGGGTAAAATTGTGGTAGCTTTTGTGCAAGGCTGTGGTTTCTGCAAGTCCTTTGCAATCATTTTAAAAAAATCAGATATATAAGTATTACAACTCCTCCTTCACAGACTTCCCTAGCTCTGTCAAGGTTGATTTTCTGTTTTTGTTTTTTAGATGAGCAACTTCCTTTTTGATTCTGATAGTTTTCACACATTTTTCAACTTTTACCTGTCTCTGTTATAATCTGTGGTTTTCTTGCTGTTGTTTTTGACATGGATTATTCTTAATGCAGCTTTCTATTTAAAATCCAGGCCAGTATTTAGATTACTTAACAAAATAATACATTAAAACAAGTAAAAGAATTTTAGCTTCATAAGCTTAACATGATGTGGTTATTTATTGAAATTCCTTACAATTTGTATAATCACTACATATTCAGAAGTTGGATATCAGGAGTATAAAATTGAAGTGTCCTGATTGTGAAATGCATATTATAAGTATAATCTTGAAATGAGTCTATCCTCATTTAAATAAATTAAATTTGTTATGTGAATCAGAGACCCTACTCCAGGAGAGTTTTCACAGAGTTTTTTTTTTTTTATGAACAAGTGTAGAGAACACACAAAGTTGTTAATTGTGATATATGTAGAAGTAAGGAATTGATAACTAACTGAATACCTATTACTATGAAAACAAACATACGTTAAATGAAGTTTGACCTAGATTATAATAATTTTTCCAGCAAAATTCAGAAAACCATTGGCTGTCTGTAGTAAAATCAATACGGTTCAAAAACATATAGTTGAGTGAGAACCTAGAATGCCAGAATTAGATACATAACACCATGTGTGTTCATCTTAAAACATACATTATGTCTACTTTATAAGAATATTCCTTTATAAGAGCACATATCCAACTTTGTTATTCATATACACCAACAACAGACAGAGAGCCAAATCATGAGAGAACTCCCATTCACAATTGCTACAAAGATAATAAAATACCTAGGAATATAACTAACAAAGGATGTGAAGGACCTCTTCAAGGAACTACAAAGAAGTGTGCAAGGAAATAAGGGAGGACAAAAACAGATGGAAAAACATTCCATGCTCATGATTAGGAAGAATCAATATTGTGAAATGGCCACATTGCCCAAAGTAATTTATAGATTTAATGCTATCCCCATCAAGTTACCATTGAACTTCTTCACAGAACTGGAGAAAACCACCTTAAAGTTCATTTGGAATCAAAAGAGAGCTTGCATAGTCAAGACAATTCTAAGCAAAAGAACAAAGCTGGAGGCATCTTGCTACCTAACTTTAAGCTATACTATAAGGCTACAGTAATCAAAACAGCATGGTACTGGTACCAAGACAGAGATATAGACCAATGTAACAGAACAGAGGCCTTGGAGGCAGCACAACATATCTACAAACATAAATGGAACAGAACAGAGGTCTCAGAAATAATGCCACACATCTGCAGACATCTGATCTTTGACAAACCTGATGAAAAACCTGATGAAAACAAGGAATGGGAAAAGGATTCCCTGTTTAATAAATACTGTTGGGAAAACTGGCTAGCCATGTGCAGAAAGCAGAACTTGGACCCTTTCCTTGCACCTAACACAAAATTTAACTCCAGATGGATTAAAGATTTAAACATAAGACCTAACACCATACAAATCCTAGAAGAAAACCTAGGCAATAGAATTCAGGACATAGGCATAGGCAAGGACTTCATGACTAAAACAACAAATGCAATGGCAACATAAGCCAAAATAGACAAATGAGATCTAATTAAACTTAAGAGCTTCTACACAAAAAAAGAAACAATCATTAGAGAGAACTGGCAACCAACAAAATGTGAAAAGATTTTTGCAAGCTACCCATCTGACAAAGGGCTAATATCCAGAATCTACAAAGAACTAAAACAAATGTACAAGAAAAAAACAAACAAACCCCTTCAAAAATGGGCAAAATATATGAACAGACACTTTCAAATGAGACATTTATGAAGCCAATAAACATATTAAAAAAAAGATCATCATCACTGATCATTAGAGAAATGCAAATCAAAACCACATTGAGATACCATCTCACACCAGTTAGAATGGTGATCATTAAAAAATCTGGAGATAACAGATGTTAGAGAGAATGTGGAGAAATAGGAACACTTTTACACTGTTAGTGGGAGTGTAAATTAGTTCAACCATTGTCGAAGACAGTGTGGCACTTCCTCAAGGACCTAGAAATAGAAATACCATTTGACCCAGCAATCCAATTACTGGGTGTATACCCAAAGGATTATAAATTGTTCTGTTATAAAGACACAAGAACACATATGTTCATTGTGGCACTGTTTACGATAACAAAGACCTGGAACCAACCCAAATGCCCAACAATGATAGAATGGACAAAGAAAATGTGGCACATGTATACTATGGAATACTATGCAACCATAAAAAAAGATGAGTTTATATCCTTTGTAGGGACATGGATAAATCTGGATACCATCATTCTCAGCAAACTGACAAAAGAACAGAAAACCAAACAACACATGTTCTCACTCATAGATGGGTATTGAACAATGAGAATACATGGGCACAGGGAGAGAAACAGCACACACTGAGGGGTAGGAGAGGAATAGCGGGGCGTGGGAAGGATGGGGAGAGACAACATTGGGGAAAATGCCTGATGTAGGTGACCAGGGATGGAGACAGCGAACCACAATGGCATGTGTGTACCTATGCAATAATTCTGTAAGATCTGCACATGTACCCCAGAACTTAAAGTACAATAAAAATATATATATGATATCAATATCAGATTCATATTGTTTAGGATTTTCACATAAATCCACTGATTTCTGGGACCCGTTTTGTCCATAGAAGTTGTATCATCTGCAGATGCAGGTTCCATAGGGTCTTTCCTAGTCTGGCTCGAGCATTTTTTTCTTTCCATCATTTGATAAGGATGTAATCCCCAGGCTGGTGCTGGTGTACTGAAAATTCTAGGAGTGGTGCCTGTGCTAAGAGTTCTTTCATTATGTTTATTAAAAAACAGGTTAGTGCTATAAGAAAAATCTGTTGTACTTTATTTTAACATCTAGTTTACAGAAAAACTGGATATTTCTTTAACCTTAGCCAGTATGATTACATGCAGAATTTCTTTTACAATTAACATTTTAAAATTTGCTTGTAGCTTCAAAACACAAATTATACAACATTTCTTGCATAAATTTCTTTTTATAACATTTTTACAACTGTCACAGACAATCTTCAACGTGCCTTAATTTTCTGACTTTTTTTATAACCTTCCTTACTAAAGGTGCATTCATATATCTTTAACTTTCTTAACATTTCTTTCTCCTCTTCCTACATTCTCTCTCTTGTTTGACTTACTTTTTGTGTCTCTTTCTGATCCCTGTCTCTTCTAGTCTCTCTCTTACTCATTCATTTCCTCTATTTTTCTCTCCATTGTTTCTGCTGCTGTCTCGCGAGACCTTAGCAAAGTGATTTCCTACAACTGATTGCAATTTGTCATCTAAATTTAGAAAATGAAGAGTAAATAAGGATTGTTGTATTTCCTCAATTTCTCTTTTTGCCTTTTAGGATAGAAAACATCTGAGAGATTCTAGGGCTGTATTGCCTTTTAGGATAGAAAACAAGTTTTATAATTTATCTGTAGATATACCTAAAGTGGGATGGGGCCAGTTTATATCTCCCAATAATTTCTGATAGTTATTTAAGGTTTGTAAATTGGTAGTATTTGATTTAATCCTTGAGGTCTTACTTACTGGAAAGTCAGTGTGTTTTCAAGATATTTCCAGGGAGAGGACTTCTGTACTTTTTCAGACGCAATGATAAGTGTGTATTCTTTAAGACAGAATTATATAAATTTAAAAGTACTGGTTCTGCTGGGGCTGCAAGTAAAATGTCATCCATAAAATGAGTAATTTTGCAATTGGGATATTTCTTTCTACAAGGGAGTGAAGACTGATTCACAAAATACTGACACATAGTAGGACTGTTCAGCATTCCTTGAGGCAGCATTTTCCAATGAAATCAACAAGCTGGCCTTTCATTATTAATAGCTGGCAATGTAAACACAAATTTTTCTCTGTCTTGTTCTG